GCATGTGTGTTTGTGTGTTTGAGAAGTCTGCACTATGTCATTTTGAGGGGAAGAAAAATCGGAACCGCAAAGAATAATTTATAGTGTATCTTTAGCACGGCAAAGAGGGGAAATTTGAAGCCTGGAAAAGGTCACCGGCTTGTTTTTGGTGGTCACGGGCTTAAAAACACTGATCTCCTTTGGAAGCAAGTTCTCTTTAGGCTGGATGTTAAAGTAGAAAGTTTCTTTATCCTCAGATGCGTAGAACAGTCACGAGAGGCTCCTCAGAAGCCGCTGCACATACAAACGTATGTCTGTGTCGCTAAATGCTACGTGTGTGTTGCTACATAATGTACAGCAACATTTGTCATAGGAGTGTTTTTGGGCCTGTATATTCTGCTGTTCTGTATGACAGATTAGATTTTTAGTATAGGACTGGTTCCTGTTTCGTTTCGGGGGGGGAGGGGGGGTTCTGTTTTTGTTTCCTGGATGCATTTTTTGTCACACGGACACACACTGACAGTCCAACAAGGGGTCCCAAAACAAAGCTGCCTTTTTTAAATCACTGCCCCTAACCCTTCCATCTCATTCTCACAATTTCTCCTTTTTTCTAAACCATTATTAGACTAAACCATTCTACTTTTTTGAGGGGGGGCGTTCAGAGCAGCCACATCTCTGACATTTGTCCTCTGCCTGACATGCCAGTGGAATCACCGCTATCATTGTTCAAATCAAAGCATGCATTTTTCTTTCTCTGTCACGCACACGCACAAACACGCACACAGCTTCTCGGGGCGGAGGAAGCGGAAACGCATCGGCAAACACAGCTGCCTCTAGCACAGATGTGCACACACACAAACACCAGGCACAGTCAGAGAGAGAGGGAGACGAGGCCATAGTCCACCGCTGCCCCCCTCCAACCTCCCGGTGCAGCTACCAATCCTCTCAGAGAATAAGCCATCTGTTTCTGATCCTGGGCCAATCAGATCAGAGACCGAAGCCCATTGGTTAACAAGAGAAGCAGCAAGATTTCGCTGTGGTTCCTGTGACCGATTGCTAACACCTGCAGTGACAGCAGACCTTCGCTGTCTGCCTCTTTCTCTGGTAGAGCCAAAAGGCACATGTGTACACACACACACACACACACCACACTTCTCTCTTGCCCTCCCTCATCCCATCATCCCACAGTCACCCTTCTCTCCTCCCTCCCTTTTTCCTTTCTTTTTCATTTTTTGTTTTTTTTATAAAGAGATGTTGCCTTAGGTATTATTTATGTTACACAAACCAAATAAACAGGAGACATTTTTCTTTTAAAGGGTAATGCAAACTGCTGCCATGTGTGAGCAGACCTGCAGTGTGTGGGGGAAAAATCTTGAATCTTCTGTTGGTCCTTATATACTCTTTCTTCTTTTTCTGGAAAACAAACTGAGATTCTGTTTTTTGATTTGTTGTTTTCTTTTTAAGAAGTGAGTGTTTAATACTTAGGCCTTGATACAGTGATTTTTGTTTAGGTAAAAGATGTTCTTTGCATTTACCATTTGAATACTGCTCTGTTTCTATCGTGATCATGACACTTCTTGACACCCGGCCTTGGATTAACACGTAGTTGAACAAAAAGAAAAAATCCACTCAGATGCATTTTGGTGCGATTGCTTTTGCCTTCCCTGCTGGGACATTTTTGATCGGTCAGATTTTACCAGGCAAGTCCAATCAGTAGCTGAAATTTGAGTGGATTTTCATTGCTAAATCCAGGTTTGGATTATTATACCTTCGTAGACTGTTATTGACAAGTCTGTTTTGTTTTTTTTACTGTTGGGGAAAATTGCAAAAAAAACAATATATATACTGATTATTTTCATTGAGGCTAAATACAAGAGCTAAACCATGCCATTTGGAGGAGTGGTGTTCTTTAGATTTTTTTTTTAAGACAATGATTAGACCAACAAACCAACCAACAAATGTAGCAATATCAACAACAGGTCTTGTTTTTGCCCAATTTTGTTACACTTTTATGCAACTTTAATAAAAACATGTAAAATGGACATTTTTCTCTGTGTGGTGTTTTATTACAGTACTTGGTACTGTTTGTTAATTCTTCTTCTAGAGCCCTACTGCCTCACTTTGATGCCATCTTGTGGTTACTTGGTATAACAGCTACATCGTCCACCTGCTGAGAAGGTGAGGATGTCTGGGAATACCTGCAGGAATACCATCATACTTGGAGGATGGTTAATATAAGTTAAGTGAACGAGTGCATCATGCCATTCATAACTTTTCACCAAAGGTTCAGGGAACAACAAGAGCAATGAACAGAACAGGATAAATGATTTGATGTTTTAAACATTGCAAGGACGTTAGGACAGACGTTTAGTTCACGGCTCCAACGTTACCCCACCAGCAAAAAAAAAGAGAACTTTGGGGGAGAAATTGGGATCCTTCTCCTATGTATGTGGTTTAATTACACCATCACACCCCTGAATTACAGTGTCTTACAAATGCAAACCCAGCCTATTTGACCACACTACCATAATTAAGTATAGGGGTGCCAGAGCAGCTGCACAGTGCTGGCAGTGGAAGAGCAATTGAAAAAGAATA